TAAGAATACTATCTAGCAGTTAGCCTCCTTCTCCTATCCCGGAGAACTAACACTACGGCGGGCATAAACAAGCCGGTATACAGTAATAGTTATACTAGGAGTCATGGGTCTAACTAGTATCCTTAACTAGTAATACTAATATACTATAAATAATAGTTTAGACGGTACTTAATACTACACCCCGACTACTCAAAATTCCACTAAGAGAAAGGTTAAATACTTAAGACATCCGAATTATACGATATCTAGTATACTATTTAGTCTATTGCCTTTATACAAATAGTCCTCCCCTGTTGTATATAATATAGGATTCGGTGGCTAATATATCTACCAAGGCAGACAATATATAGGCATATAATAAGCGTTAATAAATCCGGGAACGTATTAATATCACGAATATAACTAAGAATAAGATATAGCGGGAACTAATTAACACGGTTAATATAATAATAACGAGAAACGCCCCCACGTGGATAAATAATAATTTAGTTATAATTAAGTATATTAAATAGCGTAACGAGCGTACTAGTCACGAAAGCTGTATACTCCATCTCTACAACGCTTAGAATATCGTCTAAGCGGGAAGAGAAATAGACGGATATATTACCAGAGGCAAGAAATAAATACTTTAAGGAATCCGTAATTAATACAGGTAACTAGCCACGCTTAATTAGACTTAATGCCGAGAATATAGAGATAAACTCGACGAAATAGCCTATATTACTTAGGATAGGCTAGATAAACCAAGAAATAATATCTTATATAGTATATATAATAGATATAATATCGCCGATAACAAAATCGATAATAATAGATACTAGGTTATTATGTAAATACAGGCAAACCATTAATAGATAATAAATCAAATATACGTTAGTTACTCATTATTAGTGTACTAATTTAAGATAGACTATCGGAAGTATACGAAGACAGCCGACGAGTATCACGGGTAGATAATATAAGCTATAATAGCTATAACAGACTAGATTAACCAGCTATACGAGATAATACCCGTGCCACGCCCCACCTATTTTGGTTCGTTTAGCACTCACCAGCTATACGCTGGTGCTGGACAGTTATACGGCCAGGACTATTATATCGCCACTTACTTCTCTATCCGCTAAGACTAAAGCGATTTAGCTAAAACTTTCTATATAGTTACTTTATTGGTATATTACTTAATAGTAAAAATATAGTAGTTATTACTTAAGTTTTAGCGGGTAGAGAAGCAAGTGGCGATATAGCTATGCTGGCCATATAACTGTCCAGTACCAGCTTATAGCTAGTCAGTGCTAGACGAACCAAAATAAGTGGAGCGTGGCACGGGTACAGACGGATACTCGTGACTGTAGCCGTTAAGGCGTTAAGCGGGAGTATAGTATTTAAGAGACGAATTCTAAGCTTTAGGCTATTATATATACCCGATTCTATATATCTAGGGAATATAACAGGCAATAATAATGGCACTACTAAACACTATAGCTATAACTTTATATTAAAAGGGGAACGAATAGAGTTATATTTTATAAGAAGGACGTTATGATATTTCGGAAGGCGTATATATATCGAGAGCCACACTAATAGGCGGTTACATGACTTTTAGCTATATAGTAGCGCTATAGCCCTAGAGATATCGTAGACACGGCAAGGTCGGTCTACTTAGCTAGTCCTTTTATAATTCATCTACTATTTATACTATATCTAGACTACATCGTTTATAGCGTGATACTATACTATCCTTACAATTATTCTTCGGCCTAGCTATTATTATTAGACTACTCCTTCGAAGAGTCCGTTATTATTCTTCGGCCTTACTACCGTTAATGGTCTTCGGTCTTACCGCTGTTATTGTTCTTCGGCCTCACTGCTATTATTATTCTTCGGCCTCGCCGTTATTATTAGACTAATCTCCGAGAGTCCGTTATTATATAGCTAAGTCTGCCGTTATTATTCTAGCCTACTCTCCTTCGAAGAGTCCGTCATTATTTAAGTCTTAAGAGACTCACTCCCCTTAGTTAATAGAGCTACCAAAAACCATCACCGAATCAGTTAATAGATCTATCAAAAACCATCACCGACGAGGTACTAGATCTCTCGAAAACCACCACCCAAAAAACTCACTCGAACTACCTATACTCAAGAGTCTACGAAAATCAAGATACTATATAACCACTCCACGAATCTTCCGCGATATCGACCCCTTTCCCCTTAGCAGCAGAGTCCCCTACACAAATCAACCGGTTACCCTAGCTAATTGTTTCTACTAATAAAGTACCGCTATAGCCGCGACCGGAAAGTAGCGCCTAAGAGATAGGTCGTCTAAAGGATAAGGGGGCCGCCTTTAGGCACTCCTTAGCCTACACAAATATTAGTAAGGCACTAGAGCGGCGCCAAAAAGAAATAACTTATTATAGCGATACCGTCTTCGGCGGCCTCTATACAAATATATTCTTAGCAGTGGAAAGGACTTATCGCCTAGTTAGACCTACTTCTATTAGTATACTAGCGGGGCTACCACCGTATAAAAGACTTATATCCTTATAAGAACGCTGATTATTAGTATACTAGTAGTAATCTACCCCTATTTCTATAGTAGTAGTATAAGCCACCGTGACTTTACGATTATATTCTAGCCGCTTATAGTAATATAGATAACTATAATCTATTAGCCGTAAAGCCATTGCTCCAAGACTACTTTAACTTTTCTATAGTATAAGCCGAATAGTGCCCTATTTATAGTCCCTATTATTGTTTTTATTAGTAAACTTACCCTTAGACGAGGCCTTTTAAGGCGCTATCTACATCCAGAGTTAGTATATTACTACCAAGGCACTACTATAATATAGAACTACTTATATCTCTATTGCTATTACTATTGCTAGTTCTATTGCTTTATTATAATCTAGCTACGCTATAAGCCTCCCTATTACTAAAAGGCTATGCTATAGACTATATACCGATTTAACTCTATAAATAGAAGAAAGAAGGGGAAAATGCTATAAAAGCCGTAATTAGCTATCTAAGATACCGAAGCGGTATACCCGCGGGAATAATGATAGGAATATAGCGGGCAAAACCGTATAATAAACGCTATAGCGATATAGATAAAGGAGGAAAACGAGGAATAAAAAGGAACGTAATTAATATAAAGTACCCATTATTTACAATTAAAGGCAGGGCCTTACCTTAGCCTACCTACTACCGGATATAGAAGGCACTTATCCCTAAAGGAGGTAGGAGGCGCCTACCCTGCCTATTTTATTTATTATGCAGAAGGAATAATAGTATCGGCACCTAGGGGACGTAGGGAGGCCGTATAAGGGGGCCTTATAATAGTGGCCGATCCATAACCCGTTAGTAGTCCCCCGGCCTCACTTTTCCCAATAAACGGACTGCTAGGCTAACCTATAAGCCCTAGCCTGCTACCTTCCCTGTTAGATACTAGCCTAGAGGCAAATTATGGATACGTAAATAAGACGAACCGGAGCTATATCGACCCTATAGCGGTACTACTCCACCTAAGAAATAGTATAGAGGTTTTCCCCCAGGGTTTTCCCTTTAGAGCTACCCGGGAAGGACCGTATACCCCGACCAGGCTCCTATAGGTTAGATAGCATAGCAGAGTAAGATAGATACTAATAAAAAATTAGATAATAGTTTATAAAAAAGTTAAGTACTACCTAAATGTAACTATAAGTACTATAATATGTATCTTATCTTCTTTAATAGTAGTCTAACCAAAAGTCTCAGTCGTACTTTCTATATTAACCTTTTATATAAATTACTTATGAAAATATTTGTAAATCTAATATAATATAGACTTTATAATGTATAATATAAGTATTAATATAGTTATTAATTCTTATAGACTGTATATGTATATATATATATATATATATACTATATACCGAGCACTATCCTCTATAGGGCTGAATAATGTGTTGATATTCTTATTTAATACTATATCTGCCGTGCTCCCATGCATAAGGACCTGTATATCATGCTATGTGACACCGAGATCCTGGAGACCAAGTCGGTCCGTTGTCTACTCCACGTCTTCACTGTGGATCAAGGCGGCATAAACTCGCCCATCGTACGGGTTTGACAAGAGTCCCTTTGCGTCGACTTCTCCGCCATAGCGGTGTTTCTTTCGGTCGGTCATGAATATTTTCCGTTATTTCCCCGAATGATCTTTCGCACTATCCATTCACGTACACCCTCGAATTCCCCAGCGATCCAGTACCCATCTAGTCACGCTCAATCGGCTCGCGTCTCCCCTCTTCCAGAACTCCTTCATACACGCCACCACCACCCCCCTCTCGGCCGCAGTTCGCTGTTCATGGGATCGTCCATCGAGGTCGTCAATAGCTTCTGCCCTGTTCTGTCATCGACTCCAGTCTCAAAGACTACCACACATTGCTTGCTACGTGTCGGACGCTCGTTACTCGCTCTGCTCACGGATCTTTTACCCGTTGTCGGTTCTTTTAGCACCCTAGCATCAGCACGGTGAGCTTGGGACATTGGCGATCGTCCCGTGGCTACATTTTCATATCACCCAACCCAATCAATCGAGGCACCCAGCCGTCAGCTCTCAGAATTATCCGCCTGCGGTCTATAGTGGACTTGCGACCAACCGTCCCCCGTTCTCTCCGCAACGATCACAATAGACTTGTACAGTCTAAGTGCCTAGCGAAACCTTTCGCCTACTTCCATCAGTTTGAGCTCCGAGCCTGCCATTATCGTTTTGCCATCCCGTGGGCATTAGAAAAGGGCATGGGTTGATTTCTTCGGTATCTCCTTTGCATTGGAATTTCCACTGGCGCCTTCTATTGCTCCAATGCTCAGTCATGTGTAGACCGCGACTGCTCTGCTCAGTCGTCTCTTCATTTGCGCTGCAGGCGTCCCCGGCATAATCATAATAAGGACGCTCTGTACACACCTATGACATTATTCCCTCTATTCTCCTTGGCGGCACGATCGCATCACATCAGCCCAGCAGGATGGACCCACCCCATATCACTGAGTTCGCCTCAGAGCGTTACTTCACCAAGCTCAACCAGCTTAGCGAACCTTCCTCCAGTCAGGATCCTCGGGGTTCAGGGTTCTCGCCGGTAAACTCATGCGTTCTTCCGACCTCGCAGATTCCACCATCTACGTTCATACTCCCGCTTCGTGCTTCCAAGGCAGCTGAGACTGCGAATGATGGCCCACGTCCTTCAGACCAGAAGCCCCGGGGTCGCTTCTTTAGTCTCCGGTCCAAGGTACCCCTTTTGAACGGGAAACAAAATCAAGTTGTTGAGCAACGGGAGCCGCAAAAGCTACACCATTCCGGGCAAACAACAAAGCCTCAAAGGTATGGTCGCCCTCTGGTTCTTTCCCTTCCGCAGGCTCCGATGGAGCAGTGTTATGAACCTAACAACCAAACAGTGAACCATTCGAGCGGTTGTTTTTCGCACTGCCCAGTGAGCTTCAGATACAAATTCTTTCCTCACTCCCACTTGCCGATGTCTTGAATGTACGTCTCGCGTCAAGGCCTTGGTACGCACTTATGAGATTCCACGAAATACCCATTGTTCGATATCATCTCGATCACCATGTCCCGGCTTATGCTCGTCGTCTCTATCCAACTTCTGATACATCCACCGTCAACTTTCAGCATCTCTGTGGCTTGTGGCATCGCCTTCATGTCGCCGCGAAACTGTCTTTCTTAATGTGCGAATGGATAACCAAAGAGATATTCCTCCGAACCACTGAACCGCAACGCCTCGAGTTCGCTCCGTCCCACGAACGAATGCGACGTCGTCTCATTCCTCTTCTGTTCACCTTGTTGCATTTCTTCGAGATATATCGCAAGCTTCATCTTCAGTATATTCTCGAGCACGATGGTTACGGCTTGCGACATGTGCCCTTCACGCTCAACCCCATCGAGGCACAAATCATGAATATGTACGATGGCCAAACGCTTCTGCGTGTTCACCAAATATTTCCCCTCGTTGTGTCCTCTTTCTGCAGACGCCTACGCCCACCATCTTATGTCGGTAGAGTGGAGCGGTCTCTGCGAGGTTACCTCCGTGAAAAGCCAGCTGATGAGATTCACGTGGCTATTCTGTGCCTGGGAGGTCTTCGTCAAGTGGAAAGATTTTGGGAGATCAAGGGTTACAACAGTCGGCGAGCGGCTGTGGATTCTTGGTACAGCAGCCTTACCAGGGACCCTCCGGAGTCATCGTCAAAGCCACGGAGGAGTTTGATGATTTTAGGGCGGATGAAACCCACAGCAACCAGAGAGGCGGCGACGAAATCGACATTCCCAGGGACACGTACTTCCCGGGCCGGGAAAGGCGAAGAAGCTTCCTGGCCGCTGGACAATGATATCGACCCCGTGTTCAGTACCGCCCTCTCTGGAGGCATGCAGATTGACATGCCAGGTCGCGAGCATATACGGCAGCTTCTTGCCGACCTGCCGACTCTTCAACAAATCTGGTCGGTAACAGCCGAGGCTCTTATCCTGGATCGCCGGATCGTTGATCGACCACAAGATATCAAGCGGAACGCGCAGGTCATGTTAGACCTGATTAGAGACGACGGTAGCATGGAAGAAGATGAGTGGTGTTATGGGACAACTATGGGCGCGTCCGTCAAACCTCTGCTGGAGGGTGTGGATGAAGAACTCTACGAACATGGCTGACGTTGGGGCAGCCACTGCCCAACGCAATTTCGCCCCCTCTTTGTTCAAGGACAAGAGACGGTTTCTCATAGGCACTAACTTCTCAGGGTGTTTGAGTGCTATGTCTATAATATCAGCGCATCAGCGCGTTCTACTTAGTACGCCTTGACTAAGCTTATAGCGATGCCTATTCAGATTAAAGTATATATATCTCCTATTTTATCTATATATATATATATATTATATTATATTATATTATATTATATTATATTATATTATATTATAGTATATAAGCTTTAGTTCTGTATTTACGTAATTTCGTTATCCAAAGATAGCTTTTAAAACTTTAGTTAATATTAGATGAATATTTTATAGTAAGATTTTAGATCTAAAGTTATAGATTATTAATATTAATTACTTATAACTTATATCTTAAGGTCTTTTATTATTATTATTAGTCTTACTCCGCTATATATCTAATTTATAGGTGCCTATTTAAGCTATACGGTCCTTCTTTAGTATCTGTAAAGGGGAAAACCTATCGAATAGACTAGAGTCTTTTCGGTTACGTAACGGGCCGGATTGCTAAGATTATAATCCAGGTAGACGCTTACAGAATCTACACTATATAAAATACGCTGGGAGCGGTTCCCCAACAGTCCGACACAGTAATAATTATACACAATTACCTTAATTAATTGTAACCTATTTTATAACGATTTTGACTACGCTTTATCTAATAATTAAGAATCTTACTTCTAAGTAAAAAACCTACCCTTTAACTTTTACTACTACCGATTAAGAAGCTATCTAGCTACATCGATATAGCGTGTTGATCTATAAATAACTATTAAAATATCGGAATATAAGCCGCGGCGGATATACTATCCGTGGGGAAATTCTACGCCTAAAGGCCAAAGGGCGGTAAGGGGAGGGGGGGGGGGGGTAACTTCCGGTTAAGGACTTTAGCTTTCTTCACGTGTATAATAACTAGTTTATCGTTATCGTCCTGGTATAGTAGCGGTACCGATAAGGGGTTTAGCGGTGCTCCCTTTTTAGTCTATACCTATTTCTATAATCGCTAGAGGAGGTTATTGTTCTTCGTAGTTAAGTAAAGCAGGTATTACTAGTATAGCCACTTTATTACCGCCACGGCCTTATCTCGGCACCTCTCCGCTTTCTAGAACTTATCCTATCGGTTCCGGGACTTCCTAGATATATATCTATGGTAAAGACGTCTTACTTCCTAAGTAAGAGCGGTTAGCTCCGTGTTCTACTAAGTGGTAGTTAAGAGTCCGGGGGTATTAGTATAGCGCCGGGGTATTACCCTATAAGCTAAGGCTGTAAGGTTATCGATTAGGGTATTAAGTACTATATTAATCTTTTCGGCTATTATAAGAGGGCCGGCCTAATATAGCTATACAGCGGCGAGTTGGGGAACCTATATAAAGTTAAAATCCTTTTAGACCTACGTAGGCCGGTCCCGGGGCCTATAGCGATACCGCTATAGTATTAAGTACTATATAGATCTAGGCTATCTATATATAGTGGTCTAATCCGATAACGGTCTTATCGGGGCCGTTATAGTCGTAGCGGAGCCGTTATATTACCTATATAAGGTGGATAATACTAGCGCGCCAGCCCGGGCGGTACTATATAGTAATTCCGGGCGGGGTAATTAAGTCCAGATTCTAACGGGTTATAAAGTTAAGGAGGGCGTTAGCCCGAGGGTAGTAACGCGGTAGCTATAACTAAAGGGGGTAGTATAAGCTCAAGTCTCCTATAAGAATATATCGGCCTTATAGCGGTACCGTATCGAGTATATCCAATAAGGGCGTATTCTAGAGCGTCCTAGCTAACTAGTAGTTCTCTAAGTAAATTTACTAGATTATAAGGGTGTTATTATTAGTCCCGAATATAACTGCGTAGGCGGTATAATAGGCCCGCTACGTGTACTTATATAGCGGGTATCTTTTATATATATATAGGAGGATATGGCCTCCTCCCTAGACTAATTAGTATACCCTTTACGATGGGTAGGCCGGGCTATTATAAAGGGGTTAAGGCCGGGTTCCTGGATCGCTATTATATTATACTCGGCACGGTACCGGAGCGGGAGCTCCTTCCGCGCCGAACTTCTCCCTCTATTCTATAAAAGAATATAGATACTTATTAGTTAAAAGGGAGGGGGGGTTAAGATAACGTGCCCGGTATAACCGGGGTCTAACTCTAGGGCTCTTATTACGGTACCTTATTAGCCCTGCGGGGGACTATATAGGCGCTTATTAGGCCCGGTATCGGGGAGCCCTCCTAACCTTTAGTTCTTTGCAGGGGGCGTCCTTTACCCCTACGGCGGGGATAGTACTAGTCCTAGGAGATAATAAGTAGGGAGAAATTCTACAGCTACTATAGATATACCGCTTTAGTCTAGCGGGTAATATTAAAATCCCTAGCTCGGTACTTATATGCTTCGCGGGTTTTCTTAGCCTCTTTTTTTAACAGCTAGTATAAATCGTTAAAAGCATTATAATCTCTGGTATAAGCGGTATAGCGGCGGGGGCGCTTAGGGGCTATAGCGTTATAGCATCTTAGGCCTTATAAATATACCGATTCGGGCTTAGCATAGTAGCGGTATACTCTGTTTATTATTGGGTAGCTAGTAGCCTTATAGCCGAGGTATAGATACTTATAATGCCTTAGGAGGCTAAGATTAGTATTACATAGTTTATAGCTATAGCTACCCCCCTTAAAAAGGAGGTTATTCCGGATAAGGCTTATTACCCCTTTTAGGGAAGCCGCTTCGATAAGGAGAAGTGTTACCCTATTAGTACCGCGGCGGGGTGCTCGCTATCTTACTTAGAGGATGTTAGCCTTAGGATTCGTGTCTTATAAGAATACTAGTAGGTCTTTTTCGGATAGGTCGTTAAGGACCTCCTAAGTGATAGCCTTATTAAGCGTAGAGTAGGTATATATGGCTAAGGCGGCTTCTTTACTAAAGGCCTTCTTAACCTATTACTCCTTATAAGTAACCTACCACTATACCCCTTTAGTAAAGGTAAGGTAGATATCTCCGCTAAGTAGCTTCTATACCGTTACGGTATCGTATCGGGTAATTATAGCGTTTATAGCTTAGATAATTTCCTTTAGGGTCCTAGCTTTAAGGGGCTAGTCTTTGGGGAGGGTTCCTTAATAGACAATCAATTCCTAGTAATATTTAACGGGGATTATTTTAAGGGGGGCGAGGTCCCGTGGTGGTACCGCCACGGGAGCCTAGGCTATAATATTAGCCTAAGACTTTTTTATACCGCTTATATCTTTTCGGAGCTTCTCTCGGCTAACTTAGCGGATAAAAGCGTATAGGTATACTAATAGTATTATACCGGCGTCGTTACGAGTATTATATATCGTAATTAATTCCTTTACTAGCTTTATAACCTCCTTAATCGTGTTCTTATTACCTAGTAAGGCCTAAATTTCTGCCTTAATCTTAGCTACTTTTAGTTCTAAGGGGCGCGGTAATCCTCTTTTAGTCTTATATTAGTTCTATGTTATATCCTGCCTTCGGGGGGGGGAGGGGGGGGGGGGTGAATACTTATATTACGAAATATAGGTCCGTTACGAATTCTATATAGTCGAGGATAGAATAACGCTACCCTACGATTCTTCTAGTCGTACCGCGGCGCCGGTATTACGGTGCCGCTATAATAGTATTCCGGGAGGGAGGCGGTAGTTATAATCTCTATCTCGGAGGTTTTATCGATTTTACTCTTATTACGCGCCCGTGGTTAATAGGCGTGTCTTCCGATCGTAAAGTAATCTAATTTATACGATTTAAACGGGGTCACTCTACTACTATTTCTATATACAACTATAATTATAACCACTACACTACTACGACTATTACTACTATGCTATTTACGATACTAGTATAGGTTTTAGGCGCTTATAAGACTTTAGATATAATATATTATATGCAGGCTTTGGCGGTGTTTTCCTATTAAGGACTACACTCTTAATAAACACCTTTGCCAAGTTAATAGATAGCTCTATATTTCTTTAGACCCATCTTTAGACCCACGTTTAGTCTAACACCGGGAATAAAGAAAAAAAGTGCCCTATCTTTATTAATAAAGAAAATCTATCCATTTTAGATATCTTTTCTTCTTTTACTCTATCCTTAAAGGACTTTTGTATCTTTCAGGACCCACTTCTTATACCCAATCCTTTAGTATTCGACCGTTAGACCTATTTTCCCTTATTTTCACTCTATTTCCTCAATAAAATAACTAACAATTCATAATAAATCTAAATAAAATCTACAATAATATCAAGGAATAGGCTATAATACCAGGGAAAAGATACAATATAACCGATAACACTATTCGGACTTAATAGATATATATTATATAGACTTTAACTTAAGGAGGAAAAGGGGACTTTTCCCCCTTTACGCTAATACAGTAATTTAGTCTCGCCGAGTATTCGGCGATCCGAGTATATCTCCGATCCCATATAATACTAATCTATAATACCACTTAGTTCCTTATACTACCCCCTCTCTAATAGGGCTAATCCCTTAGGCCTGTTTTATCTCTCCTACCGGGCAGAACGTGTATATAACTCTAGGCTTATACGAACTCCGCTATCCGGTCGGCGCTTATAATTAGTCGGCGCCGGTAAGGCTACGTACCTCCTTCAAAATATCACGACTTCTTTCCACGTAGTATTAGGTAATCGGTAAACCGTTAGCGGTAATTACGTAGCCGACTCGTTTACTAATTATTATTCGTTTTCTAGCGTCCCGCGTAATAGCCGGCGATTACTCGCCGCGTTTTAGAATATCGCCCTTATCGTTATACCTTCCTTTATTATCGTGGTGTATAATATTACTAAATTTATTCATACCGTTCTTTATACTTACTCCCTCTCCGGCCGGATTTATAACTAAAACGACTATTTGCCTTATAGATAAAAGTTCTCGTGGTTCCCCTATAATTATTCTTCTTTTCTTTCTTTTCCTT